GAAAAGTTCTCGCACTCACTCTCCTGGTATGGCGATTATGAAGTTGAAACGAAGACATAGACAAATGAAGGAATAGACACCAAAATGCTCTCACCAACGCTCTCTCAAATTGAGTTAGCTAACAGGTATTTTCCTTTTTAAATCAAATTGATAAACTTTTTAAGGTGGAAGACAATAAATATAGTTACATTTTTGCAAAATCTATAACACAGGATAAATATATTAAATAAAATCTTTCTACTTTTGCTACAAATTGGCTTTGAGTTTTTTGGTTTGAGTCACTTAACTAGCACTTTCTTGAGTACTTTGGTCATAGACTAATGAATTTATAGACACCAAAGTACTCAAGAAAGTGCTAGTTAAGTGACTCAAACCAAAAAACTCAAAGCCAATTTGTAGCAAAAGTAGAAAGATTTTATTTAATATATTTATCCTGTGTTATAGATTTTGCAAAAATGTAACTATATTTATTGTCTTCCACCTTAACAAGTTTATCAATTTGATTTAAAAAGGAAAATACCTGTTAGCTAACTCAATTTGAGAGAGCGTTGGTGAGAGCATTTTGGTGTCTATTCCTTCATTTGTCTATGCTTTGGTGTCTATAAATTCATTAGTCTATGACGAAGATATTCCAATGATCTCTTTTCTGGGAGTAACTATGAGGGAAATTGAAGAATGTACAGTTCTAGAACTATCTCTGTTACGGATAAAAAGAGGAAATATGAAATCTTAACTTAACGAAGGAAGTTTAAATGAAGAGTTATTGAATTGAATTCCTTTGATTTTTAAGAGAGTCTACTTTCTCTGAGAATATTTCCAATGGAAATGGAAGGTTTGGGAAAATGTTGCAGTTTTGTTAACCTTACGAGCATACATACACAATATTGAAGGAGATACGAGGAACACATACACACCTTGTTTAAAAATTCGATTGCATATGGGATAAAAGAGAACAAAAGATTCAAAAGTAAGCTATTGTTTATTTATAAATATAAAATGGTTGAAAACAAATTTTTAATACATTTATAGGAAACTCCAGTTGGCTTAGCTTTTTAAAATAATTTGTTTCGGTACCTGCTATAGGCGTGGATAATTTAAATGATTTTGTAGGGAACCCCAATAGACCAGGATACTTAAAATATTTTTTATGGCCAGGTTTTCAGTGAACTCCAATACACATTCATTTTTTACATAACCCCTACAAGCGTGGTTTTTTAAAATAACATTTTATGTTTTTCCAACCGGCGTGAATTTTTTAAATAATTCTTTATGGAACACCTAAAGGCGTAAAGATTTTTTTAAAATAATTTTTAAGAAACTCCTATGGGCGAGATTTTTTTAAAGAATTGTTTTCAAGACCTCCATTTGGCGAGGATTTTTTAAATATTTTTTTTCTAGGCGCGGATTTTATAAATATTTTTTTCCAAGTTATCCTATAGGCGTGGATTTTTTAAATATATATATATATATATATATTTTTTTTTTTGAGCGTGGAGTTCTTAAATATTATTTTTCAGGCGTGGATTTTTTAAATATTTATACCCTTCACCACACTGTGGTACAGAGTATTATGTCTTTGTGCATATGTCTGTAACAGGCAAAAGGAAATGAGATAGACACATGGTTCCTTTTGAGAATATGCATAGAATGACTTTCTGAGTCGATTTATGCATGTCCATCCGTCTGTAGATGTTAAATTGTAAACAAAGTACAGGTCGCTTTTATGATCCGATTTGGATGAAATTTGGCACAGCTCACTTATTTGGCCCAAGGACGAACCAAATTGGTAAAAAAAGGTTCAGATTTATATATAGCTCCCATATATATTTTCGTCCGATTTAAGGTAAATGGTTGACCAAAGTCCCTATATATCTTTCGATTTGCACGAAATTTTGCATAGGGCACTTAGTTGGGTCACGAATAATGTGTGCTAAGTTACGAAAAAAATCGGGTCAAATTTAGATATAGTTCCCATATATATTTTCGTCCGATCTAAGGTAAATGGTACACCGAAGTCCCTATATATATCGAATTGCACGAAATTTGGCATAGGGTACTGAATTAGGTCCAGAATGATGTGTGCTAAGTTTCGTTTACATCGGTTCAGATAGAGGAATAGCTCCCATATATATTTTCGTCGGATTTTATTTTAAAGGAGCACCAAAGTCCCTCTATATAATTTGCCTTGAAATCGGTTCAGATTTAGATATAGCTTAGCTTCCATATATAATTTCGACCTTTTCATGCTTATTGTACACCAATAATAAATTCGTTCAATTTCATGTCAATATTCCATCGAATATACCCAAAGTGGTGAAGAGTATCATATAGTCGGCCAAGTCCGACTTTACTACTTTTATTTCTAGTATTTTTTCAGGTATATACTTTCTAGTATTTTTTCATTTAAACGTTTCACCATCCAATTGTCAGCATGTCATGTTCCAATTTAGTTGAACAAAAATTATATATTTAATAGATTTTTCAGTTATTTTCATTAATAAATTAATTTTATCGGACGTTTCAATCAGTATTGTATTGAAAAAGTTATAAAAAAAATAATTTTATTTATTAAAATATATAAATTATAAAACATGGTGATGCCATGCCGAGAATTGAATAACAGGCTCCCAACTGTTATTCAATTCTCGGCATGGCTAAACTAGGCATTTCAGAGGTTAAAATAATTTAAGATACAAACGATGTATTCTATTAAGTAAAACCACTCATAACTCTATATTTAGAGCACCTATATAACATTTTTTTTTTAAATTTTGAGCCAAAATAGCCGAAATGTTGCTTATTATTATGCACTGCAGGAAAACCTTGAAGATTTTTGTTCCTAAGGGCGTCATCAATAACAATATAATTACAAATATTTTTTCATCATTTTAAATTCTAAAGTGTTCTCCTGTATGTTCTTTACAATTAAAAAAAAATCCTTGTGAAAAAGATATAATTGTAATATATTTACAAGTCTTTTAAAATCGACATGTCCACTAATTGTTCTTAAGAAACATGAATTATCGCTAGTGTTGAAGAAACTAATTGTGCCTGAATGAATATACTTAGCTCAATGAAATTATATACAGAGATATGTTGCAATATTATTGAAGATTTTTAATGCTATTGTTTGTAATTTATTATTTTATACAAATATGTATATCATCAATCAAAGAAACCTTCAATCCACCAAAGAAGCGAAAATAAAAAGTATATTTAATACTAAGTATTTTAATAGGCCAACACCATTAAATTACATTTAAATTCTAAGTCGTTTGTTGAAATCACAATAGAACTATATTTAAGACAGAGCTTTTGGTTTAAACCCCATATAACATTACCCACAAATATTCGCTATTTCTGTAATGCTGTAATTCTGTATTTTGAGCTCTCATTGTGTAGTACATCTTCCTACAAAAAATTATCAAAATAGGCCTACTTTTCCAATCAAATTGTACAATTTAGAATTTTGTATTGTTAATATGTAGCAAATGTTCTTACTAAAAATTAAATTGGTCCACTTTTCAGTTAGCTCATAAATGGAACACCCCTAACGTTTAGTGTTTTCGGATTTTGTCACGATTTTTGAGCAAATTGGCTGTAATTTCTTTTCATTAAGTGTCAAATTTTCATTCCAAATATGTACAATGGCAAAGGTCGCAGTATATAAAAGTCTCCGGAAAAATACTGATATTTTAAATGTCCACCTCATTGTGGAGGGTATAACAAATGCGAACCGGTTAACATTTTTAACAAAGAGTAGAGTATCTGTGGGTAGGTACGAATAGAACTGGTTTGGTAAGATTATCAGGTTGGACGTCCACTGGATCAAATTGTATACACCATTCATATGTATTTTTACAACTTTTTAAATTATTCACACGAAGAGTGATACCAGAAGGATTAAACCGTTTCGTTGCAAACTCTTACTTGATCTATGTATGATAAAAATATTACGATTGGTATGAATTTGTACATTTTGTTGGGTCCCATCTCCGAACTTTATCTAGTTGTGATAAATTGAATATTTAGAAATTTCTAAAAATTATTAAGAGGTACTCGAACTTGTGTACTGATAAGCCCAATCGTCAAATAATCTAGGGGTCAATTTCGAATTCTAACATTTTATCCATAGGTAGGACTCGTACCCCTGGTCAGGAGCATTTTTTCGGATTAGCCAATTTTTGTTAAAGAATGTTCGTCCAGCTTTGGCCGTCTGTTTAGACAAAAAATAAAGTTTTTATCTAAACCTACTACCACGTTAAGGGTCATTTGACGACCCATAGCGTTTTATAATAACCATATTTGTTTAATGGTGGAAAGTTCTGACTACTCACTGCATGAATCACAAGCTTTAAAACTTTTAGAAAAGTGCATATTTAAATTTCATCAATATAAAAATGGGTGTCAAAGTAGCAGGATTAGCCTAGCATTTTTTTAATCATAGCCAAATTTATCACCTGGGCATTAGATTAAAAAAAGTCCGCCCATAGGCCTGCTGTATGGAAAAATAGTTACTCTAAAATGAAATAGTGATCGCGTAGCCGAATTTTCTTAACTTAGTTTTGAGTAACTCAAATGACCTCTTTCGCATTGTTACTACACCTAATGCATCGAATTAAATTGCATCCCAAATTACAATGTTAATTAATTTAAAATATCCCACAGAAAATCTCTGATTATGCATAAAGATATTTGTTTCATTCGCTGTATGAAAAGTAGTAGTAAGTTAGTAAAATAACTTAAAAAAAGAGAGTGACTAAATATGCATAAGAGTTCCATTCCTGCATACCGTTAAATTGTTCAAACCTTTTCTAAATCAAAGTATCAAGACTTCATCACATGGGATTACATAGATCTGCTGTAAAAGCCAACATCTAATTTATATAAATTCTTTTTTGTAGCTTCCAAGCTAACGATCCACTTGTAGATCTAACCATCAACTAAATACATTCACTTTTTTTGTCACAACAGATGTTATTTTTTTATTCTTTTTCGCAAAACATATTCACATTATCTTTAAAGTTGCTTTATCCAGTAAACAACCCGGAAAACATACAAAAAATATTATTTAAAAAAAGACGAAGGTGACACTTTTGTTGTTTTGAGTCAATCCACAACTCGGACCAATCTGCTATCTAGATACATGGTATCTATCTATTTAGCTTGGGTGGTCTTCTTGGGCTTGGCTTGGGTACCTTCACGGAAGCCGTTGCGGAAACGTCTACGGACAACCTTCAAGTGACGCATGCGGCCGGTACCAGTGGTCTTCCTCCTCTTGGCCTTGATGGACCAGTTGTCTGTAAACAAAGAGAAAAGGATAAATAACATTAGCTAATGTGTTGAAAATATTTCAAAATTACATATTGATTTTATATGTAGGACATGTCCAAACACACAAAATGATTCGAGGATAAAATTATCCACTTATACATAACATTTGTAATGTTTGTTTTCATCTGCCTGTGTGCTTGGGACCGAAAGCTATTGCAAATAAGCTAAGATCTTCAAAACACAGGCACAAAGTTGAAAAAGCAAAATGTCCAAAATTTCAATTTGACATACTTTAATATCGGAATTTTGCCTTTCCCATTTTGTTGTATTTGTTATTGTTGTTATTCACATAATAAAATACTTACAGGAACGCAACTTAGCAGCGGGATAACCGCATTGAGCGCAAGTTGACT